GTTATTAAACTTTGCACAAAAAATCACAAATAATATGTCTGAACACAAGTTTGGAAAAATGTGTGATCACAAGCGACACTAAGAGCTTAGCGGAATGAGTGCTAAACACGGACTGATGTAGCAAGCGCACAATCTGGGACTTCCCCTCTCGTCACTCGTTAAGCGAGTCATTTTTTTTACAATTTGTTTTGCTCGTTAAGTGAGGTTCCACTGTATTTTGTATGAAATTGAATGGGACAATAAATATAAGTGTATAAGGTCAACTGAGTCTAGGTTAACAGTTTAATATAAGAAAAAAAAAAATACATAACTGGAATTTCTACAAATAATACCAAATATGATCTGTATGCTGAAGTTCATATATTAGGGAGAAGTTAAAATTCTTAGAAATAGAATTTTTGTAACTTCACATTGAAACTGGAAATATTTTCTTGAGAATGATAATGGCCTTCTCAAAAATGCAATTTAAATTTATGAGTTTTAAAATTAAAGTATGTTGAGTTAAATTCAATGAAATTTCCATAAGTTGGTTTCAGAAATTCCATACAGCTGAAAATGTGCCTAATTTTAATTAAAAATTGTTTCTGCTTTCCCATTGTTCATTGCAAGTTTTAAGCATAAACTGCGCATCTGAAACTGATACACTGGAAGTAATAATGAAATTGTTAAGTGTATCAATATTTTAATATTGTTGAAGAGGATTAATGGTTAATATAAGAATGTGAAAAATGAAAGTTTGAAATACATTGTTCAGTATATGAAAAATATGTGTGTCTTGACTCAGAATGTTCACCTATGCAGGGTCCTCATGTCTCACCTGTATACCAGTATATTAAAGGGGCTCACGGACAGTGCTGCTTTTCCCCTTACATCCCTTCAGCTTTCATATCTGACTTCATTCCCTTACAAGACTCCTTTTTTAAAATCTTCAGCCACATATATATGTATGTTGGGCTGCTTCTCCTTTCGTTGTTTGTTGAGGCACATTTTCAGCAACAGACTCTTAACCAACTTATAAAGAAGAAAAAACACTGCCCAGACCTCCAAGGACGGCAGTCTACCCGATCTCCCGTTGATAGAAGGGGCACAAAGACACAACCCTTAGCAGTTTAAGATTTTAAGTATTAAGAATTTTATTAATATTTTAACTCACCACATTTTAGCTTAATTTAAAATCTTCATATATAACACTTTGGACAACTTGAACTTGATGTACTATGATTTATGTAACAGTAATTTCCTCAAGTGCTGTTATTTGCCTTCTGAAAATGGTCATTAATTGACCAAAACATGTAAAGGCATCATATAATATACTTTGAGTCACACTGGATGGTGGCAAATCATTCTACAGTGTCAGATGTATGTTTAATATACACACATTATTGCCATTATTATAATGTACTAGCAAAATGTACAACACATGATAAATTTAAACATACAAAGTAACCACTGCAGTAATTATAAGTGATAAATATGTTTCACTTATAATAAGTATGAACAAGAGAACAGCCTTAGTAGATGGAAGGAAAATGCTTCTTCAAAGGTGTATGCTCTCTATGGCAGCTAATAGAAGCATACTTACACGACAACCATGTAGTGATCCTTTAACAGCAAAGTCCTTTCCAGTACAAAAATTGTATGGAAGTTTAATCAGCTTTTAGCAGTTTGATAACACATGATTAATGTTGTCTTTATTTAGTAGTTTATTTTGTTTACATATATATGAGCTTGATTCTGTCCCTTTATAGTGACCTAATTTGTCTCAGGTTGTTGCAAAATAGTACTGATTTTCTGCTCAATGTATATGTTTCTAGTAGAGTGTAAACTGAGTTTGATTTGTTTCATTCTGGTCCGTTACACTAACAATTACAAATATAAATCACTCCGTCCAATGTGACCTGTAAGTTTTTTACTACATGAAAACTTAACATCCTAACATGTCACATGTCACAAACACAACAAGCATAAATTCATGTGACACAACACACTTCTGAACAGTGAAAACAGCACAGCAGCCACGAGCAAAGCCTGGACGATATAAAGGTAGGACATAACATATCCTCAAACATATATATAAATTATATATATAGACAGTATTAACATTGAAATAGTAAAATACCCATAATATATTTGCAGAACCTCCACATCAAGATAGCCAGGTGGCACAATATCTGCCCCATATAAGAGGGACGATGGGAGGATGAACACGAGCCTG